AGTTAGTTCAGGCAATTTGATTAGTATACTGCCTAGTATATAGCTCTTTTGCCCTCCCTCATGATTCTTTTACTCATGAGGAGTTCCTCTTCAGGATATAAGATAGGAAACTGCCATTGCACCATGGGAAGAAGAATTAGAAAAAAAGAAACAACATTTTAACTTTTAAATTCACTATTTAAAAAATAGTGATGTTAGAACCCACTCTTCACAATACTCCTCTTTCAACACCAATCCCACTTTTCAACCTATAAAACTCCTCTGGCCTTTAGTAGGGGAAGAAGAATGAGGATAAAGAGGAAAATGACAGATTCTGATGACTGTCTATGTGCATACAGTTTTCTTCTGCAACCTCCCCAGGGTTACATTTGGGAATACAAACTATTTCCCACTTTCTGTGGGAGCCTTGAAAAGTAGCCTGACAGAGTTTGACTTCCCCTTGAATTGGAAGTAGTAGGGTTGACAGAGAGTTATAGTAGCAGGACCAAGTTTTCAGAGCCCAGAAGGCATGTGAACCAGAAAATTTTAGTTTCTTCTAGAAAGGTTCAGAGGTTTTCAGGAGCACCTGAGGAACATGGTCACAGCAGGGGCATATGAGAGTGGAATGTGCTTTAGACCAAATGGTCAGGTACCAGATGGGAATCTCAAAGGGAGACAGAGTAAAACAGTGATAATTATTAACAAACAGAGCTATTGTATCTATCCTAACTGATGTCATTATTGTATATTGACCAATGACTAGGTATTTCCCTCTGTTGTTATAATGCTACATCAGCTGTGTGTCAGACAAATCTGTGCTAATTCAATATATGTGTGCCCCCACAGCTTGCTTGTACTTAGGCAGAAACAGGTGACTAGTTTCAACCAGTGGACCGTGAGCAGGAGTGATATGCCGCTTCTAGGCTGTGCCAGTGAAAAGTCCCTGTTTGTCCCTCCAATATTCTCTCCATTATGGTGATTATGGAGAAAACATGTAGAAATTAATGAGCCACAAGATGAGGTAGTCTGGTCTCTTAAGACATCATTTGGAAGAAACATGTCAGACTTAACGGCCGAAATAAGCTTTTGTATTATCAGCCAATAATATTTCAGTTATCATCACTACAGAAACTTGTAAATACTAAGTACTAAAGGCCCTAGAACATAGAAGCCACCTCTGTTGAGAAATGCTGAATGTATAATTGTTGAGAAATGCTGAATGTGTGATAGAATATACTGTTTCCTAGGAAAAACAATGTCAAGGAAAGCCTAGCCGTCCCCCTCCCCTCACAAGTAAAAAAGTACTTGGGGTATTCTAAAGTGGCAGGACAATTTATAAATACCATACACCTGTTAAAACAATTCTTTAAGCATGGGACATCTGGCCCTGCCCCCGTGGCTCCCTCGTGGAGAATACTTTTTAGTTTGCCTGTGATCAGTGGTAAGCGGGCATCAGCTGCCTACTTGCTATACTTTGGTGTTATGAGAAAATACCAAACATCTGTTTGTTAATAATAATCACCTGCTCAGAGAGAACAAATGCATGGATCAGCGTCTGCTCCAGGCCCTTCAGCCCGG